CTTCTGTGATGGAATGCCGACAGGCCCAGCTTTATGCAGGTCTTTTGAACATAGCCACTGCTGCTGTAAGTTCATGGTGTAATAGCTTGAAGTTTCTTCTCTGGTTCGATAGCCTTCATAGGTCCATGTCTAGAACATAGCATTCACAGTGCCTTTTCCAATCCTCTGGCTCTTACATTCTTCTTACATCCTCTTCCCTGAGCCTTGGAGAAAGTGACATAGTTGTTCTGCTTATGGCCAACACTTAGCATTCACTTATTCTCTGCTTACAAAGAGAAGCTTCTCTGACCATTTTGGTGAGTGGTGCTATCTAAGGATATAAACACTGGAAGGCAGTTTGATACCATGTCTACTCAGCAAAACAACAGCAGTAGAGTCCCATGTTAGGTTCTATGACCTTTCTAGCCACGGGTTTGGACCAGGTTTATAGTACCAGACATGAATTCCTCTTGTTGAGAGAGACTCAAAATCTCACAAGAAAGTGATTGGATACTCCCATATCAGTCATACCACTAATACACCAATGAGCACACTCGCCTGACAAATTGGTATTGTATAGTGCAGAGGGTTCACAGCTGGGTAAGACTCTTACTGATTTTTCTTCCTTAGCAGACTATATAGCATGTTCCAGCAGTATGAAAGCTAGCCAGCAGGGAGCTCACTCACAGCTCATTTTCAGCCTGATTTATTGGTATCCTGAGATCAAACCAAGTAGTGTCTTCAGCAACAGGGTCATATTAGCTAGTTCTGGTTGGTAAGAAAGAAAAATAACAGCATCCTGTAGTGTTTGGTGACACTTGTCACCGACATTCTGAGGACAGCATTGTTATGTGGTATCTTTAAGTGTTTTAAAGGGTGTGTGTGTGTGTGTGTGTGTGTGTGTGTGTGTGTGTGTGTTTGATCGGTGAGTTTCAGAACTGTTTGTTAGATTCTGGAATATTCTCAGGCACCTAGTGCTTTCCCACATTCCATCCAGTACACTCCTGTGCTGGCTTTTGTTTGGTCTACTCTGCAGAAGCTGGAGTCACGTGGGAAGAGGAACCCTTGGTTGAGACAATGCCACCATCAGCATGGCTGTGATGGGGATCACGGGGATCAAGTTCATGGGGATCTTTTCTCGATTGATGATTGATGTAAGAGGCTCTAGTTCACTGTGGGGGGTGTGACCCCTGTGCAGAGGAAAATGCCAAGTGTATCAAAATGCAAACTGAGTAAGCCGTGAGAGCAAGCCAGTGAGTGGTGTCTCTGTCCTTCCATGGTCTGTGCTTTCATTCCTGCCTCCAGGTTCCTGCCCTGACTTCTCTCAGGGACCAACTGATGGAGATGTGTAAGCCAAAGAAACTCTTTCCTCCCCAAGCTGTTTAGCCTTTATCACAGCAACAGAGAGCAAACTAGGATGCTCCTCCTTCAACTCTTTTTTTTTTTTTGTCTTCCTTCATCAGTGTCTTTAATAACATTAAATGAATTGGTTTATCAGTTTCTCTGAAGTGCCTGTTATCTGATGCTGCTGTGATACCAACTCCATTTGCTTTCTGTGCTCCTCTCCTGGAGTGCACAATATTTCCCAGCTTTGTGTTTCTGATTGTGAGCTCATCTGCAATAGACCGATTCCCACTGTGGGTGTTTGATGTATCCAAGGTGGGAAGTGGTTTTGCGAGTGATTCTCTGGCTCTTTACTGTATCTCATCAATTTGGCCTTTTAAAATGATTGCATAAATTCAGACTTCTCAAGTCTTCACATGGCAAAGTTTGTGGTTATTATTTCTCATGCATTTTTTTCCCCCTGCATCTGCTACCTCAAGTAGATGGAAGAATTTCTTGTCCCTGTGTGGGTTTGGGGGAAGAGGTGACAGGAAGTGTTTTTCTAGCCCTTTTCACAAGATGAAGATGCCTGTGGGGATTGGGTTTGTGCTAGACATTAAGTAGTTTCTTCACGCTCCCCCCAACCCCCAATGGGCATTCACATCCTGTCAAGCCCAAGGGACCGTGTGTGGGCAGGAGCGGGATCTTGTGCTGGCTATTATTAAAGGTCAACTTGTCATAACCTAGAATCACCTGGGAAGGGAGTCTCAGTTGAGGGATTATCCAGAGCGATAAGCCTATCAGCATGTCCTCCCTGGGTGTGAGAGGCACCATTTCACCGCTGCAACCTGTCCTATGTAAGGGTAAAGCAAGCTAGCTGAGCAGAAGCGGTAGACAAACAGGCAGTGGGGATTCCTGGGTTTCTTCTCTCGCTGCCCCTGGATTTGGGTGTGGTGGCTAAGGTTCCTGCCTCCTGACGTCTCTGAAGTCCTGGACTGCAGCCTGGAATCATAAGCCAAATAAACCTTCCCCTTCTGCTGACAGGGTCCTTTATCACAGCAACAGAGATGAACCTGGGACAGACCTGTCATGTATGCTGAACTCGTAGATCCTCCTCACTGCTCACAGAGGCCATCTTTCTTTCTGGTATTTGAGACTCAAGAACTTCCTTTCTTGAGCACTTTCTCCTTCCTTTCTTCCTTCCTTCCTTCCTTCCTTCCTTCCTTCCTTCCTTCCTTCCTTCCTTCCTTCCTTCCTCTCTCTTTCTCTCTCTTTCTCTCTCTTTCTTTCTTTCTTTCTTTCTTTCTTTCTTTCTTTCTTTCTTTCT